CTGTTAACATTCTACTATATGTGTCTGTACTATTATGTATGGATGATGCAAATGCCATCCCTAATATCTTGTTTGCATTGTTTTTGTAAAGATTGTTATTAGCATCCCTACATTTACTTCCTTTTTTGTAACATATTTTTTTTAAGTTGTATATATATATATTAAAGTTTGGGAATATTAAATCTTGCTTGTTTAACAACTATCTTGTGATCACACACAGACTTCAATATTAGTCATGAAACCACAATATAATTTTACAATAAGTTGTTTACTGACCAGTTCTTGAGACAGGTTTGGACTAGGAGTGGGATCGAATTCCTGACGAGAAACTACCAAATTCACAATTCCTCTAAGTGGAGTATTTCTCAAAATTTTAACAGCTTCTGTCTGGGACAGACCAGTCATTTCTATTCCATTAACCTGCAAACAGTATGACTGTTGGAACTTCTATTTTTTTTTATCAACTTGATAAATACCATTTACAATGTTCAAGCATGTTTGCAGTTTTATAATCAATTTCATGTAACATTTTTGGAACCTGAATAAACTTGGATCTTACACATAATAAAGTGGTAAATCGTTCAAACTACTTACTTCAAACAGTCATAGCATTATAGTTTCAATACTGTATGCAAGCTATTTAAATACTGTCAGGTTTCTAAGCTTCCCGAGGTACTCTGTACATAAACTATCAGTTTCTTTGCATTCTGCTGTATTTTTTGCAAACACTGCCATCTTCTAAGATTTCTGCTATATTCTGTAAATTTCTAAAGCTTTCTTCTGCATTCTATATACATTACCAGTTTCTTACACAATCTGCTATTATTCTCATGCAGCAGATAAGTTAAGAATGTGGTAACCTATATATAGAATACAACAGATAGTTAAAAAACAAAAACAAACTGGTAACTTATAAACGATGCAGCAGATAAGTTAAGAATGTGGTAACCTATACGTTTATAAGTTACCAGTTTGTTTTTGTTTTTTAACTATCTGTTGTATTCTATATATAGGTTCCACATTTTTAACTTACCTGTTGCATATCTGTATACAAGTTACCAATTTCTTAATTTATCTGCTGTATTCTTTATACAAGTACCAGTTAGCTAACCTTTCTGTTGTATTCTGTAAAAAAGTTACCAGTTTTTTAGCCTATCTGCTGCTGATAATTTCTTAATTTATCTGCTGTATTCTGTATGTAGATTATCAGTTTCTTAACCTATATGCTGCATTTTATAAATGTTACCTGTTTTAACTTGTCTTCTGTAAGTAATAACACTGAATCAATAGCTAAGCAAGTAGAACATCCATTTACCATCTATTATGGCTGTCTATGTAATTATATCTGTCTAAATAAAGAATGCACCATAACTCATGACTTTCCAGTACTGATACTACTGATAATCAAATCTTTCTCTATATACAGCTATATTTACACCACAATCCACAGTTTTTATTAATCTTTCTTTTCCTGATAGATACATCATTAATAATTTTTGATGTGTACACAGATTAGAAACTACAAAATCAATCTCCAATTCCAAACTTTCAAGTATTTTATATATATTTACAAAGGAAATCAGTTTAAATGAGGTGAAGATAAAGATGCGTGCATACATTCCTACCTACCTCTAAAAGCCTGTCCCCTGGCTTTAATCTGCCATCCTCAATTGCAGCACCTTTAGGAAGAATATTTTTTATATAAATGGGACAGTTCCCGCCTGCAGGATTGTCCCTTGTTGTTATGCTGAATCCAAACCCATCTGGTCCTAGGAAAAATGAAAAAAGATTTGTTATTGGTAATTACACATGTAATGGAATTAAAGCTATTCTATTTAAAACATATAATATTTCATTAATAAAAAAAAAAAAACATTGCTATTGTTTGTAGATCTAGCTGGATAGCTAACAAAAACATACTTTTGTGATGAATGATTAAGAAGGTTGGTGTCTAAGCAAAAAATTCCACTAGAAATTGTGCCTTTCTGAACATATATATATATATATATATATATATATATATACTACCGTCACTTAGTGACATTTTCAATCCAGCTAACACCTTTTAACCCTTTCTGGATGGAGATCATCATTGATATTCCTAGATTTTTTCCTTCTCACAATGAAGACATTTAACCATATTGTATAAAACTTAGCACAAACTTAATAAATACTATCTAGTTTCAGCTTTAAAAAATCCATATTGTACTTTTTTCCCTATGAAATTCCCAATATTTGTTGAGACACTTTTTTGTAAAAAAAACACTTCATTTATATTAGAATTTAAATTATTTCTATTTTTGATAACAAAGTCTCACTTTATATATCCAATCAATTTCATCTTGATTAATTTTAATTAACATTTCTCTTGAAACTTGTTTTGCTGATTGCAGTAGTTGCCTCTTATAGCTATAAATAATAAAAATATTGCATAAGCTGACAAAGATATATTGATGATCTAAAACCTGACCTTTCAAAATGGTGTAGCATCAGGGTAGGTAACAATATTTCAATAAATTATAAGTTATTTTATTTATGTGCATTGTATGAATCTAATAAACTTAACAATAAGATTCAATAAATAAAGATTTGAATAAGATTTAAGCCACCATTATAACCGTCACTACTGTACTCTCTAAGCCTATTAAATAAGTATTACCTAATGGCTTGTCATGGAAAAAAACTGCCACATCTATCAAACAAATATAATTTAACACAAAAACATTTTCAGGAAGATAAAAATCCCAGATCTGTGGTTTGTTCCTAAGTTCCTTAAACATCTACTAAATTTCATATCACTTTCCCACAAAACTATATATTGCTCCTTACACTATTTTATTCACGTTACTTTGATATAAGTAGTTTATAGTATTCTCTATCCAGTGGCATTTAAATTTTGCCTGTGGTTATTTTCAAAGCTGTCCTCCATTAATATTTGATCCCACCCTTTTATGACCTCATGGACTTGGTTAATTGTATTTTCAAAAGATGATAGTATTTTTTTCACCAAGTGGACTCAGATGACCAGAAATTTTTTTAAAGAATATATAAATGCATTTTTTACAAGTAAGACCCCTTAGAACTGTTTAAAAATGTGTAAGTTCGAACATATTCTACAATTTTCTTTATAAATTACTCTAAATAAATGTTACAAAATAACCATTATAAAATATTTTTAAATAAAATTGTTGTACTAGTTAGAATTATCATTTTAACATAAATTTTGAAATTTGATATGCAGGTCCAGAAAAAGAGTTAAAATTGAGGTTTTCAGGTGGTCATAGAATGGGTTTTGTTGTTCAATGAGGAGCTAATATCTTTTGTATTATAGCTAATACTATACATACTTCCTTACTTAGACATAAAAAGATTTATTAGATTCATGATGCTAGAAAAACACGTAGGTTCAAGAAGTCTTGGCAGAAATGAATAAAAACCCTATAACCCAGCACTTTTGAAATGTGGACCTTTCTTCTTCAGCCAGCTTGACAAGAGCTAATGTTAGTCTTGGTTATAATACTTCCATGATCTTCATATATATTTTATTACCTAGTACATTAAGTATAGTCCATGTTTTTCAATCCTATATTTTATCTGACATTGAGAAGCTTTCCCAAAGAATTAAGTATGGTTTGTTTTGAATTTCATGCAAGGCTACTTGAAGGCTATCTGAGCTAGCCGTCCCTAACTTAGCAGTGATAGACTAAATGGAAGGCAGCTAGTCAACACAACCCATTGCCAACTCTTGGGTTCCTCTTTTACCAACAAATAGTGGGGTTGACTGTCACATCACAATGTCCCCACAGCTGAAACGGCAAGTGTGTTCGGTGATGGGGATTTGAACCTACAACCCACATATTGCTAGTGTTTATTTAATACTCTAACTCAATAAAGACTCTTTTTGTAGCTGAAATTTTTTTTATTTTATATTCCTGTGTAAATGAGAAAACTGTTTTAATATTTTGATTTTATATATTTTTTTTCTAACCAATTAACAGTCAGAAGAGCTTACCTTTTGTCAACTGTATTGGAATCTTTCGTCCAATTTTTCTTGTGTTTGAGGTGAGAGGAATATTCTTATGACTTATTGGCACAGAAGATGGTATCTTTTTTGTTTGAGTTACTGTAGCAACTTTAGTGTTTAAACCTCCTGAAAAATATTAATGAAAGATAAAGTTCATTAAAGCACTTGTATTACTACAATCTGTTTTCATGTTTTAACCAAATAGAAACAGGTCAAAGGATTAAGAGAATATTTCACCACATGTATATTTAACCTTATGTACACCAGATAATATCTATAGAATAGCTGAATTCCTGTCATGTTATGGTAAATGCTGAATAATGTTTCTTCTCAAAATTAAATGTAAATAAATGTTTTATGAACATGTTTTCAAAAAAATAATATTATTGTAACAATATATGAATAAAGGTTTATCCTTTTTCTAGTATTTCACAAAAACAACATTTTTTGTATATATTTGGTTATATCCTGTAAGTGGCGTGGTCCTTGATTAGAATTTTCACTTATATTTTATGTTATGTTCAAATGTTCTTCTTCATAAAGCCTTACAGACTGCACCATGTGAAAAACCTGGCTCTCGAAGAAATATTCCTACATCATCAAATGTCTAACCCTGCAACTTATTAACTGTGACAGCAAAGGCAGTGAATTTTCTGGTAAAGGACAAATTCACAAAGGTATAACTTTTCATTAAAAAAATGTATTGTAGCACCATCTATTGCATTGAAAAGACATTTGTTTGAGACACATGGTCACTTGAGTTTACTATATATGATATTATCCCTTATTTAATGTATATTTGTATTCATATTGTTCCAAATATTCAAAGATGGTGTTGTAAATATGATAATAAACATATAAAGAAATAAATATAATAATAAAAAATTGACATAAAATCCTGACTTGACTGGGATTTGAACTCGAGACTTCTATTTGAGACAAACCACTGAACCAATTTGAATGTAATCAACATAGAACTGAGCTTTACCAACAAAGGGAGCATTCTGAACAGAGAGCAGATTTTATTATATAGTTTTTTCTCACAAAATCTCTTCAAAGCTTCCTGTAACCAAATGTATTTCACTTTGTTGGAAGCCAAACAACAACAATAAAAGAAACATACCTCGTTCTTGTCCCTCCACCAAGTCTGTTCTTTCTTCTTCATTATTAGACCTTTTTCTCTGAACTATGGGCTTTGGGTAGACAGGAGGAGGAGGTTTTTTAGGCCTTTGAGCAGAGCCTGTAGACAGTGAATTCTTTGCCAGACGTATCCTAATTTCTGGGTCTCTTAGTGCATCCTTAAATATTTCTTGGGCTTTTTTGAAACTAACATGGAGCAAACTTTGCCCATTGATATCAACAATACGGTCTCCAATATGGAGTCGGCCATCTCGATCAATTCTGCCACCAGGTTCAACTCCCTGTACCACAAGTCCCATATCCCTATCACAAGAAATATTAAATTTTCACTTATTTCAATTAACCCGAAAGTAGGCTATCCACAAAGTGCACATATACTACAGAATGGTGTTGATGCACAAGTAAAGTATTGAAATGTGATTATATATTGTTCAGGTAGTAACAGCTTGGACATTTTTAAACATTTAGTAACCGTAATTGAAAAAAATAAGTAGTTATTGTCTTCTTTTCATTTAAGGATCATCTTATCAAAATAAATATTTCTTAGTCCGTTTTGAAAAATAATATTCTTACCTTTTTTAAAGTTCTGAATATACAAAGGGCATATATAGATATTATAATTCATGGATTGAAATAAAATTAAAAGGAAAGTGCTCAAGGAACATGCCATACCATATTCATGGACATAGCCCATTGTGTCAAACTTGTTTGCAATTGATTCAGAAAATAATGAATACACACACACAACTTAAAAGTGCAAGTCACTCTCAAACCCCACATCAGCAGCCTGGAAAAGTAGCTTATATTAACTTATCCAGTGGTATTGGTGGAAGGATACAAGGTGCTAGACTTACACAGGAAATTGTTGCTGCCATAAGTAGGTAACCATTGGCAAGACCGTAAAACAATCAAGTAAAAAGAGAGAGAGAGACTGAACATGATGAAGTTGGGATGTAAAAGTATGAGGACTCTTCCACATAAAGACCCATAGGATTTCCTCCAGAAACCTAGCCTTTTAAGTCAATGAAATAGAAAGATGCCTCACTTGAAAAGTTCACTCCATAGCATTTCAAAAGTGATTATAGGCATAAACAAGAGGGAATCTTCAATAGCTGCAAGTGTAATTAGATTTCAAATAGGTCAAGAGATGGAACTATGAGCTAAAAGTTTGTAACTGAAAAAAGCTCAGAGCCCAAAATTCTGAGGATGAAAGGATCAATTTGGTAATATCAAGACACATGGTAGTGTGTCATTAACAAGTGTGATAGTCTAGCAATTTTCCACCTACTGTATCCCAGACTGTGGTAATCCAAACTATCACATATTTTCAGAGGATGTGCTATATTGGACTCTTACTTCACATACCAAATTTCAAGGCAATCAAATAAGACATACCTGAAATATAGCATCTTCAATTTTTATTGAGCTTCTTCCTTTTGTTTTCTTCACACCGAAAGTATGAAAATTTTATTTGATAGAAAAACATACTTAACTTTTATGGATTTTTTTTTTCAAATTTGGTACACTGATAGATCTTTACAACCTACAATTTTGAGTCTCATTTGGTGTAAATATAAGCCACATGTGCAAATTTTTTTCAACAAAAACCACTCTAATTTTATGAAAAATTGGGGCAAAAAGTCATGTGAGCTATCAGTCTAACATTTTTACTACAGCTTCACCTAAGAGTAAAAGTAGAATATTTTTTTTCAGTTAGCTAGGTCGTATATGTTGTTTTACCCACCATCATGCTCAAAGTTGGACAAAAAATGCAGCCTGGCTAAGTAATGAATGAATATTTGCTGTAAAATTCTTATCAATGCTAGAAGTGTAGCTACCAGTTTGGCTGCCAATTTTGATTGTATTCCTTTAAGTCGCAACACTCAATCCTTTTTTGGCTGCACCTTTTTTCTCACACCTAAGGTGTTTTTGATTAAATTCTGTTTGCACAAGACAACTGATCTGTAAGAAGCTCCATGAACATTAAAGAATAAACTGATCTCATGAGAATTCCCAGGTAGAATAGACACTTAAGCTGACATACAGATGAGACTTACACAGCATGGTCATCTAAGGCACTTGCATGACCAAAGTTAATGTTTAATGTACATTTTGTCAGGTGCAGTATCTGATGAAGGCCAAAACTGAAACGTATTGTGACGAAAGATTTGCTTCAGACACCAAAGCATTTAGTACAACTGCAAAAGCCCAAGATGCATAGAAATGTGGCTGATATATTTATTAAATGAAGACACCAGGTAGAAAACAAATCTTTAAAATAAAAAAAACATTCCAAGTCCTAAAGTCCAACATAATACAAAACAAATGTGAAGTAACACATGATAATATGGATGTCACTGTTAAAGAAATGAGATTGTCTACATAAAGCCTCAGGCATGAGATGAACTGATGGAAAAACTCCAAGGTAAAATTTATATATTCATGAAGTCTGACAAACATGATTTCTATAAAGAAATTTAGCAGAAGACAACAGCCGAGGAGAAAAACTTATGTTGTCAAAACCAGATGTACAAAAACTTCAAATAAAAAGAAAACAACCAGAAAGAAACTGAAAAATTTAAAGATTTTTCCCATTCTAATCATAGAAAAAAAGACTAGTCTGAATAGCAACATCAGGTAATGGCATAAAACACAAAGATCTTGGTGCAGAGATATTCTGGCTCAAATGAACAAGCATCAGGGGCAAGTAAATAGGTCCAAAATCTGATTCTTGGAAAATGAAATACACAACATCCTTCTGTAACCCTACTCAAGGAAAATGAAACTAATAATTATAACAACATACAACAAAAACCTCAGATGTGGCTTCAGACTGTAATTTCAGCAAAGAAACAAGATGCCTAAGAATTGGAATAAATAATAATTCTGTAATCATTATTCACCTTCTGCAAGGTTTTAGGGTCACAGATGGATGTCAAAGCCTCAGAAATCAAGTAATACTCTTCTCATACAAATATTGTTTCACAACCATTTAATGACAAGAAATATCTGAATTCATTTCATAATCAGAAAGAAAAAAAAATCTTGAGTTTCCTGTTTGAAGATTAGTTTCAAAGAAAAGGGGAAATAAAACTAAATCAAAAGAAGTTCAACCTATTAATTAGGCTAAAAGCATTATCATAAGATTCACAAAGTGAAAACACACAAGTTTACATTTTGAAGTGCTATAAGAAAAAATGATCACAAACTACATAAATGCTGAAGACTAGTGTTGATAGTGATTAGATAATTTAGATAGAAAGCATGAGTGTATGATCAGTTATATGAAAATCTAAAGAGAGGTTGAGATTAAAAAGAGAATGCAAACTGCAAATAAAGAAAACTAGGGATAAAAGATGGAAGTAAAGAGAATGGATCTCAATTTTTACAAAACCAATAGAAATAGTAACATAATAATACAGGTAAGACATTTTATTTGAATTAATATTTACTTACCTCCCATTTGAGTCATAATCTGGTACAACATGGATACCTAAAGGCCCTGATTCATTCTTCAGGATTATAGGATTTTCCCTATAAAATCAAAATCAGTACCAAAAAAATCAAAATCAACTTGATAACCACAAAAACCTGTAAAACATAAAACTGAATAAACTATAATAAACCCAAAAAGGATGTATTACAATTTTAATGTTCATAGTGCATGAAATAGATTAACTTTTAGAAATAAATATTTCACAACTGTATACTTGGATAATAAAGATGCTTTTGACATAGGTATATATGCTGAAACACTGGACATCAAAACAATTTAACCTAGTGTCCTGGATTTAGTAGTAATTTATTTTTAATACTGAAGAAACAATTTGGAGGTGTCTTTATACTATTAATGATAAACTTGCTTATGTTCCAATAGCTGAAATACTTTATAAAGTCTTTGCATATTTTCAAGTATTTTATTTTTTATTCTTCTCTCTTTGTGCAACATGCTGTATGTAATATGTGAAAATATTCTAAGAAAACGGTGACATCAAGGAGTTTTACACTTAACTTTATATTTCAATATTTCAAAGCTTGAAAAACTGTTTTAATTGGGTATCTCTGATCCTGCAGTATTTTTATTGAATTAGTATACTTTGACAAACTATTTTAATTGAGCATTTCTGATCCCGCAGTACTTTTACTAGATCTATATATTTTGACACACTACTGTAATTGAGTATTTTTGATCCTGCAGTATTTTTATTGAATTAGTATACTTTGACAAACTATTTTAATTGAGCATTTCTGATCCTGCAGTACTTTTACTAGATTTATATATTTTGACACACTACTGTAATTGAGTATTTCTGATCCTGCAGTATTTTTACTGAGGGTTGTTCAAGTTTCTATGGAGATAAAATTGATTGGGTTGTTTACAGACAGCTTAAAATGTCTGATGCAAATAGCAAAATCAATAGCACAGCTACTTGCGAATCTTTTTGTGACTCTGAAGAAAGCACAGACAAGATAAATGGAATAACAAAGGATTTGTAGTATCATCGAAAAATTTACCTAAGCTGAAACTTACTTTAAATGTGAAAATACTGGTAATATGCCAAAGACTTCAAGTAATAGTATTCTGAAAGAGATACCAACCCCTGGAAACTGTCATTGTGAGAAGAAAAAAAAAAACCTTTGTGACTACAAACAAAGCTGTGAAAGAGAAACTTAGAACAACTTGGAAACTCTAACAGAACACAAGAACATAAAAGAAAGAAGAGTGGTAGCACTAGTCAATTGATTTACAGAATTTCAAAGAAAAGTTAAGCAATAATGAAAACAGTTATTCTAATCTGTAATTGGAGCTTGCTTTCATAGTGACAAGACCAAGAGTTTTTAGAGACAATGAAGAAATGTGACATCATAGCTAACAGGATGGTAGATCTACTGATGCTATTATGTATTAAATCCAGAATTCATCTTTAAAGCATCTTGTCAATAGATTTGTTTTAGAAATATAACTGAGTTCAGATTTTCCCACAATAGTTTAACTAAAAAATATGCAATGTGTGTTATAGATGAAGACAAAAAGCAATGGGTCAACCTAACGTGAGGGTAGCTGAAAATCCAGAACTGAGTTAAGAGGATAGTGAAATTTTAAATAATTTTACGAGTCACTTCTGGAGTCTCATCCAACATACAAGTGTTGAACCTACTGTTAAATGTATGAAACATATACATATTTAGGAGAAAAACCATCCTAACAGATAGTGACTTGTTATTCAACAGACCTTAAGATGTTCTGGTAAACATGTTATTCATTCAGGCTGTATGTGTCAATATCCTATGGTTAAAAGTGAGAAGATGCAAAAAAACCACAAAACAAAGAACAAAGCTTCCTTGAGAAACATTGGGCACACAGAAAACCAGGATAGCTTATTTCCATCTTCCACTAGAGAGAGAATGGTACAACTACAGATTGTTGAACCAGTTTGTTGTGTATGTAAACAAAGCAGCAATACATGAAGTTACAAGTTACATGTTAATATCTCTCGTGTTCAGAACAAAAGGTGCTATTGAACATACTCTACGGCTGCCCAAAAGATGATGACAGGTACATACAAACCTACTGACTAAATCATATTAGAAGGTACCATTGACACTGTCCATGGATTGTGGGAAATGGATCTGGCTAGTGCCAAGACATTGCTTACAGAATTATTCATTCAGTTTACCTAAGAATAAAATTAACTAACAAGGCAAAAATTAAATATTATGTGGCAACTTATTACACTATATAGTAACTTATCAAGTATAGCTTTAACTAAACAACAAAATATAAGAATTATATTGAAATTAGCTCTCCTAACAAAATAATATATTTTCTACAACACGGTAACAAGAAATGAGAATTTTGAAATTTAGGATGAGAATATATATATATATATATATCTTTAACCAACATTTCTTTTAACACATTGTGATATGTAACAAAATATTTATAATAAAAAAATTTACAAAGTGTTGAAAATATCTTCAAATGTAACTAATAAAAAAATTTAAATACTAGAAACTAAAATAAAGAAAAATACATCTCTTTGTTTCAATTGTGCCAGGCCTGAAGGAAGTGTTAAAATAAAATTTAAACAAAGCCAACCTGTCCTCACTTCCACCAGATGACTCACTATCTCTATCTCTTGACTGATCAGGTGATGTTCCCGGCCCACCAAGTGGTTCTTTTCTAGCATCTTGCATCTAGATTTTCACAAAATAAAGCTTATAAGATCACACACATTTTAACTTAAAAGTTTACTAAACTCTTCCTCATCTTCTCTTTACATTCTTTCTCATCCTAGAATGCACAATCATCAAGAAATTATGTTCCATGAATTTAATAATAAAAAAATCTCAAATTATTTATCTTTTTTATTGCTTATATCACAACAGTATAATACCAAAATACAAACACGCTACATGAAGAGCAAAGTTCTGTTCAATTTTAGATTTGAAACCCATTTACAATTTCTTTATTTTGGGGCAAAATAATTCAGAAATTTTTCCATTAAAAAAAAGATACTCATCACAATAATAAAGTGTAAAAACCAAACAATTAAGTTACCTTTTGTGTCAGTAAAGAAAATCCTAGACCTATTTTATTTTGTTAACATTACCAGCTCACTTATCTATCAAGAGCAAAATGACAAAGTCTGAATCTTACTCAGCAACCTGCTTCCATGTAGGAATTATCAAGTCATACAGCCTGAAGTCCCAAGTCAAATGATACTTTTAATTGTAACAGAAACTGAAACTTACACCAGCTTGTTAGGTAAAGAGATATATGCAAATTATATGTTTCATAATACTTCAACAATCTATTTAGTCAGAGAATATCTGAGCTCAAACACACAAATGATTAGTTAGTCTTGTATTCCCAATCCATTTGTTTTCAATTTGAGATGGCTGTTTTAAATCTGAAGAGTGTTTGTAGCCTCAAAATGTTAATGGAGTTTCAAATTAATCGTGAACATCAACAGTTTTATGTAGAGTACATGAAGGTGAGTAATATTGTCACTAACCAATCTCCAGCTTTCTGTTACATGTTGATGAATGTTGTATGTAGTGTCTTGTTTGACATTTATCAAAATATTAAGGAACAATTTGAAAATACATCCTCTCAAATATTGATTATTTTATTGAAGTTGTTTTTATTTCATCTGCCTTACAAATATTAGTGAAAAAAAAAATTGTCTATTTCCAAAAGCTTCCTATCTCAATATTTATAGCCTCAAGTTTTCTTAAATTCTCATTAAAAAAATTTAAATTATATAATTGTTAACTTAAACCAATTATTTAACATTTTAACATATATTAGAGACTACTTACTTGAAAAATTAAACAATTACTAAAAAATGTTTTTTAAAGGTTGGCCCCCCCCTTAACTTCTTAAACCCAATTAACCCATCGGACAATGACAGCGTCCATTAACGCTTACGTCTATTTGGCTGAAAACTAATCCAAACCATGTTATTATCCACCTTTTATAAATAGACCCGAAGTTCCATGAAGCATTGTCGTCTGTTTTAAAACAAATTTCAGATCAACAGTAGAATGTATAAAAATTACGAGTTTAAGGAGTTGAAGCTATCTTAAACTAATGTCTCTGTTTATGTCTACCAAAATACACCAAACTTTTATTTACTCTGAGAAGTTGTGCATCAGCTGCTTCTTCCCAGCACAAGTTATTAGAGCCACTGCCCAAAATAGATAATCTTTCGGAACCTTGACCAACTCTTAAAAACCCTGTGTTTTCTTCTTCAGTTTCATCTTCTGCTACATTAACAACCAAGTCATTCTCAGAAGAACCAAAGCTGTTGCCCTGTTAAAAAGAAAAATGTTGTGAACAACAAAGACAGGAAAAATCTGTTTAAACTTCTTAAACAATTTTGTTGAACAGAAAAGAAATAAAAATAATTATAAATTACCATTTTTAACATTTAAATATTAATGTTATTAAAGTGAAACTGATCTACAGCCAAAAGATTTTCAGCAATTTCATAGAATTAGTTTGGTGTTTAACATCAGTAAAAAATTTTAAATGGTTTACCATATTAGATATTCAATTGTGGTATTGCTTCAGAAATTAGGGTTGAGAATCTTTATAAATAGACAACTCATTTATCTTGATGCTTTTTAACTCTTTGATAGCAGCAGGCATTCACTGTTACAAATACAATCTTTAGTTGGTAAAATGGTAAAAATGTGGAACCACTATCTGATGATCAAATTTATCAGCTTCCAGTAGACAAAAAAAAAAGCTACAGAAATGTGTGGAGAATACAGTTTTAGACTGTACTCATGTTTATTCACAAGGTTGGTTTGGTTTGTTCTGAATTTTGCATAAAGCTAAATGAGGGCTATCTGCACTAGTTGTCCCTAATTTAGCAGTGATAGACTACAGGGAAGTTAGTTAGTCAACACCATAAACTGCCAACTCTTGGACTACTCTTTTACCAATGAATAGTGGAATTGACCATCACATTATAATGTCCCTATGGCCGAAAGGGCTAGCGTGCTTGGTGTGATTGGAATTTGAACCTGCGACCAGCAGGTTATAAGTTGAGCACCCTAACCACCAGCAAAAATATTATTAAAATCACATAATGCTGTTCAAGAACATAATGTGATCTTGTATTCCAAGTTTTGAATTTAAAAAGTGAAAATCAAAAGCATTCCTTCAAAATCAAGTTTTATTAATACTTTGATTTTAACTTTTTGTAGGCAGATTAATTTTATATTATAATACTAAGGGAAATTAACCTTTTCTTGTATGATAGACATAGCTCTATCATTTCTGTCACCTATAGTTGTTGTAGGCAAAAATTATGTAATATTGTGTTGAATCAATTACACCAGCAAGAACTAAGAATACTTGTACTGATTATATAAAAAAATTATGTAGAATGAGTTTTTCAACTCAACAGTAAATTTAAACTTTATCAGTAGTTAGACCCTCTTAAGTGCCAAAATTCCAATACTTTGATAAGTCAACTTTAGTACTATTGTAAAAGTTCTTTTTTTCCTTTTGCAGAGATGTCTTTACCTTTCCTTGAAAGAACAGAAAAATTTATCCTACAATTTGAAGATATTTTCTTCATGCCAGACTTCAGCTCTATTTTATGTCATAATTTCTCTACTCACACTAGATTCAGATATTTTATTGGAATAAATTTATGAAAATTGTCAACATTATAAATCTTTACACCTACAAACCTGAAATAAATGCTCATGATTTGAAATGGTAAGGGGAATGTTGAAAGTAACTTACAAAAAAATCTAATTCCCATGTTTCATTTATAACTTCACTAGGAAGTGGAAAGTATGCTTTGGTTTATTCCAAATTCATATAAGCCAACATTGGCATTTGTGATTATATGGGTTATATTTTGTTGTTAATGTTGTTTGTTTGAGAACAAAACCACATAATGGTTTACGTGCACCATGGGAATCAAACACCAAATTTTACAAGTGTTAAATCTTATCACTGATATACCAGGAGAGGTTATATTTTGAAATAATTAAAGCAATAAAGGCTGATATTGATGTATTTAAGTAGCATTGAATGCATATTAAATTTTTAAACATTACATTATTCTCATTTTTACTTAATATACATTGAATTAGAGCATGTATTAAAACTTAATGTGTTGAAAAACTAAAGAAAAACTTTAGAAACACATTACCACAAAAATTCATACCTGCACAGATCTTGAGGTCCCACTTGTATCATTGTCCATGATGACCGCTGCAGACCATCTTTTGGTTGGGTCAGCACTGGCTGGACTGGGTGAGATACAGTTAAGTGCTGGTTCACTGCCTCTTCTTACATGAAGTGGTGTCACACCTAAGGAAGAAGAATCACCAAGTAAAAAGTTAAAAAAATGTCATCTTTAACTGTTAGAAGAAAAAACAATCCAGGTCACTTATTAAGATACATTTCTTAGGAAAGGTTCTTTTGTCTGTGACAGTATAACCGAAAAAAACAGTCCAATGGCTAATTATGATGTCTATAATTGCTTGTTCTTGCCTCTAAAAACATTTGACAAAACTATAAACAAATTATAAACCAGTGGTTTTCAAAGAGTGGGCTGGTCCAAAATCTAAGTCACTGATGCACAACAGCATGGCCAAATGCCATATGAAAGAACACAAAAGTTTGAGAGTCATTGTCTTAAACTAATGAATCTTGACTTGAACTGATGATCAACATTTGTGATCATATCACACCAATGAACTGAGATCAAGTACCAAAAAAATACTACTTACTATCTATTCTAATCATCATGTGTACTTGAACTCCTATCTAGAATTTCCATAATACCCAATTAACATAAATCAATAGTCACAGGTTCACAACAAACACCAGCTTCTTAAGCTAACAATACAAACACAACACTGGGTGAGCAGTCAAGGTCAAATTTGAAACACAGTTGGATTCCAGGGACAGAATGGCTTGCTAACTAGACACTACTTTTAACAGATTACAATGTAAAGTATTCTGACTTGTCCAGAACTAGAACTCCAGACTTCTGACTTACACATTTAAGCCCCACATTAACTGTAAACCATTTCACATTCTGGCTACACATTATTACAAAATAAAAAACATAGGATAAAAGCATAACACAGTGAGGGAAATATTTGTCAACTATCACACTTAATAAGATGTTAAAGAGAAACATTCTAAAAAACTGTGGTAGGAAACAAAACAAATTTGAAATTTAATCTGAAAAGTTTGTTAAAATTTTCACTTCTTTTCTCACCAGTTTAAGCTTACAAGCTTTCATATAAACAGCAGTTTTCAAAATACAGAGAGATTGATGAGATCTAAATAGTTTAACTCCATCTATATATATAGATTTTTTGATTATTTTTTTTTCTATATGCAATGTTTGGATTCTGGTCATCCAGACTGAATTTACAAAATTCTGCAAGTTTTAGTATTACAGGTTACATGTAGCATACATTTCAAACAGCTTAAGATACTTGAAATACTTCCAAAAAAATAAATCATTGCATATACACCATTTATATAGTAGTATGTTCAAAGATACTTGGTTTGCGGTATGTAAGGAATTTAGTTAGTCGGTATATATACCATCTACTTTGTCATTCATTATTGTCCCTGTTGATGTTCAAACTTCACTCAGGCTGTACAAACTAAAAACATGTTTATTATTCTAACTACATTGTTACAGGTTGCAAAGAATTGTGGAATAATACCAAAAAAAGTAAATGATTTGGTCTAATTGTTTTTTGTTGTCTTTTTTTATCAAGTATTTCTTAAAGATATATCATCACAGAAATGATAAATCTTACCAGATGATATATGGTCAGCTGTGATCTCAACATCATTTTCAGTGTACGGATCTTTCTTCTCATGATGGGTATCTTCACTTCCCCTAAAAATGTCTGGACTTTCTGTTCCCACAGAGCTGGCACTCGTACCATCTCCTCCATTATGAGATAAAAATGGAGAACCTTGCTCTTCATAGATGGCAATTATCTACAAGTAAAACATAACAGACTATAAATTTACATCAATCTTAATAACAAGTTATAGGAAGTTATCTTATCATATATAAACTGACTATAAAATAAACCACCTGCTACACTGTTTTATGTATAAAAATTCAATATTGATATGTTTCAAAGTACTTGAATATTATCTATCTATATACATGCATACAAGTAGAATCACCAATGATACCAGTTTTAAGACGTAAATAATTTGGCTAATATTTCTAGGCTTATTAACCATATTTAAAGTAATACATTACCATTACTAATCACTTCAGAAAGTGAATCTCCATTCATTTAAACCACTCTTTTCTTTCATTTTTTAAAGAATAATGAGTGATATGGTTATGAAGTGTAAACTTGCAAAACACATATTAAGTTTTTATCTTGCTGAACAGCAGTGAGGTATTATTCAAAATTATTAATGAATTTTTTTAAAGTTTAATAAAAAAGCTAAATAAGTTCTATTAGGTAGTGCATTTTTAATGATATCAGTGCACACAATAAACACATTTTAAAACTGTAATTTACTATTACTTCTTCATGCCAGCTACAAACACTGAAAGAGATAAACCCAAGGGGCATTATTAGGACTCTCATAGTCAAGTGAATCACAATAGATAATTCACAGAGATTGGGTAAAACTGAATTACTTTGGGAGGAGGAGGTTTAAGTTCTTTTATTGTTCCATACAAATAAAAAAATAATGTCTCAATTTAGACTAATTTTATCGTGTGTTTTTTTTCTGGACAGCAACACTCTATTCAAACAAAATGTTTAAAGAAAAAAAAATATTTTAAATATTTATGGGAAGACTTAATCACAAGTTACTTCATTAACTTTACGACAAAAATACTTGAACATTATGTTTAGTGAATCAGCGAAGTCCTTCCACCTTACAAGAATTGGCTGAAAAATATTCATAACATTAGATAAAGAAATGTGTATAACAAACAATACCTTACCGTTATCCACATTTACAAGGGTTTGTTACAACTAAAAATATTGTTTAAAAAACAACCACGTGTAGGTGTGGCTGTACACACAAAATCAACTGATCCCTTTCGATTTCAAAACAGATTCACGCCCAATATCCACTAACACGCACGCGACTGACGTAAATACGATATCGAAATTGTTTTTTGTTTTTTTTAAAGAAATAATCGCACACATAAACAGGCACTGTGTGACGATCACTCGCTTTAAATACACGTTACTTTGTCAACAGGCCAGCGGAGTTACTAACACCCTAACCCTCGCTAGAATTCAGCAACACGATCATCTACGGCTCGGGTTATTATGGCAGTGGATCACATTACTTGTGGGAGGGGAGAAACTGCAGGAATTAAAATCGTCGGGTGGCAAACGAAAACGTTCAGCATCTCCGATGGCGATGTACACAACTTGCCACGTTTCGTACGCGACTGTTAGGTCGCCTAGTTTCACATAATAAATACATGCTTGTGGTGCTGAAAAACTTTCACAAATCTCATCTCTTATCGTTTACATCCATCCCAAAACGTCACTGAAAATAATGATGAAATGCAGCTCGAAGTAATGTTAAAGAAGTGTTGCACTCGAAGTACAGTGTGCTAACGGTTAGTCCTACCAAAGAAACGTACACAAGTCAAGAACAGTTTGTAAAAAAAAAGAGTCACAGAATTATATAGGCTTAACTAAATGGTACACCACAAACTGATGATCCAAGCTACATACCAAAATTAAATCACCAAAACAAGTAAGTATATAAGCTACGACAGCAGTTACAACTTTTCCTTCAACCTAGCCACACTTCACCATTACTAAGCACAAAATTAGTGTGCTGAATGACTCATCGCTTAAAAGTTTTTTCATGCCCCCAATGTTCAGCCATCCTCCAGTGAACCTACTGATGTCCCAAATGCCTTTTGACATCAATTAACAGTCAATAAAATATTGTTACGCCCACTTCTTTATTCAATGCAATTTGTTTGTTTTTTCAATTGGGCTACTAAAACAATTCCATTCATAAAATCCTAGGTAGTAGTGGAAACACTTGGAAGACAAAATCAAACTCTTCTGGCTTTCTCAACTGAGTAACTCTTCAGAAGATTTAACTTGTTTATATTAGAATAATTTTTTTGTAACACCAAAAGTTACTTAGTATAAAATATGCAAAGTGTTTAAGTAAATTATAAATTTTGGCTATAACTGGGACAACTTACTGTCTGGTAGATTCAAAACGTTTCAACTGAAACTTGATTGGTATGTTTTAATTATCAAGCATCTGAACAAAAGTTTGTACTACGTGTTTATAAAGAGTGGTTACGTGTGAAACTTTTCGGCAGTGTGGGTAGATAACGTTATGAAAATGTTCAAGAGATGGTCTGACAACTGTGTGAAAATTGTCCAAGAGAAAGTGGGCTGACTACTGTGTGAAACTTGTCCAAGAGAAAGTGGGCTGCCAACTACGTGAAAACTGTTCAAGATAACATTGGCTGACAACTGTCCAAGGGATATTGGGTGACAATTGCCGGAGTGAGTTAATTATTAATAATAACTTCAGTGTTAACTACACCAGTGCCGACGAAACTTTTCGATTAATACCAAGGCTCTTCATGACGGCTGGGATAAAATAAACAGAGTAATAGTTGAGACGCCACCTATGTTAGCAAACCGCTTGACAGCAACGATCCGATGTGAACTGGATTAATATGGTGAAGTGTAAGTTATCATCAACATAAGTCGTAACACTCCAGTATCGGGGTAAGGATTTTTTTAACACTAGCAGATCTAGCAATTCAAATCATCACTATCTACACAGAATAACTGCATTACAAGTTCATACGGCGTATACAAACTAAGTGTTTCTTGAATATAATTTGAAGTATTCAAACCCTTTGATTGGTATCAAGTATTTGTGTGCATACGAAAAGTTAAACTCGTGTTTGGTCTCGGCCCGCTTTTCTAGGACGAAAGGATTTCGAGAAATGTTTATCTGCGTCGGTTACCCCACGTGCTAAGCTGAAATAAAATACATTTTCTCCCACCAAAAAACTGAGAAAGAAAACGTGACCAAAACTTAATAAATGATACTGTCCTGCTAGTAGAGAGAGTTAATCTATGTATTTCTGAGGGTTTTTGGGTTATTTCACTACAGTACGTATGGTATTAAGCATTGCAAATAAGATTATTACACCACTAAAAACATATGTTGCTTTAACTGGACGTAATTTCTCAGTATCCTTCTGTTAAAGTGTTATTGAAAAATTCTCAATGGCGGTATTGATGCTTTTCCTGTAAACCCCCGGATGTATGGGGGTAAGAGCTGAGTTTGTTTGTTTGTTATGGATTTCACGCAAAGCTACACGAGGGCTATATGCGCTGGCCGTCCCTAATTTAGCAGTGTTTGTTTGTTTGTTTGTAA